GTCCGGGACACAAACCACAGTCAACTACATGGGAATTCAGCGACATAGCCATTATGCCAACTGGTGGTCCCTAAAATAAATTTTTTTAAAAAAACCTTCAATTTATAAATGTTTTAATGTGACTAGACTAATTGGTTATAGAACTCTCCCTTTAAATCCTTTTAGAAATTATCTTCTCAATGGACTTGTCATTAAATATGCTGGTTATTTTTCCCCAGTGATATAAAGATATTCATACAGAACTCTGAGTGGGGGCGGGCAAAAAAGTCCATGTCTTATCCACAACATTGGCAAAAATGTAAAAGCTTGTTATTACTCTGTGGCCAAGTTATGGGGAAAATGGACACCTTCATATGTTACTGATAGGAATAGAAAGAAATTGAGAGGAATGTGTCAGTATATATTCAAATACAAAACTATATCTGTATATAACCTTTTACCCAGAAATCCTACTTCTAGGGGTTTAAATACACGAGGAAGTAAATACACTTCCAAACACACACACACACACACACACGGGGAGAAAAGCATATGCACAAGATTGTTTTGAAATAGCAAAATACTGGAAACTAACCAAATGTTTAAACAGAATATTTATTGAGTAATCTAAACTAGATGATGAAAACATTCTCCCAAGGGGTCGGGAGAAAATAGAGGGAGAGGAATGCAAAGAAATAACATTTCTCTGAGAATATCTTTTTGCATGATTTTGACTATAAAAGCATGTTTATGTTCTATGTATTACAAAAATAATTTCATAAATAAGAGCAAGAAGGAATAAAAGGGGCTAGATGGTGGCACAGTGATAAAATATTGGGCTCTGCAAGACAGACCCACTTGGGAAGGTTACTAGTTTGTGTCCAGAGACTTCCCTGAGTATGCCAGGCTCATGCATGCCCATGATCCAGGCTGGCTGAAGTTGGGAGTGAATTGTGGAGTCAAAACTCTGTCAAGCTCCATTTCTATCTCTGAGCACACATCCCCTCTGGCAAATACATACATATATATACACACACACACACACATATACACACACATATATGTGTGTATATATATATATATATACACACACATAGATAGACTCTTCTGGAATCCAAGCTTTCGCCTATATTTTGTCCTCTTAGTCTCCAGCAGAAGATGCTAGGTTATAGTTTATGATACAGGAGTTAAGCATATAATTATGGTAACTTGTGTAACTTTCATAGAGGGCAATAACATGTGTTAAGCATATAGGCCAGGCCCCATTCCAAACTTTTCACATATATTAACTAATTTAATCCTCAGATCCCCAAGAAAAGGAGACAAAGGCTCAGAGACTGTAGGATCAATAACACTAAGCCAGTTTGAGGCAAAGTCAGAGATTCAGAATGGCTTAATTCCAAACTCTTTGCCTTTTTCACTATAATAACCACCATAGGCTGTGACTGAAGTCTTATATAAGTGGACAAATTTCAGAAAAATCTACCTAAATTTTCTTTCTTGCATTAGGTACTTCTTCAATCTCAGTTCAGACTCCTGATCCTGATTACAGTGGGATCTGAGGACAGAATTCCCTAAAGGATGGATCTTGGGCCCTCGGCAGAGAACGACTCTACTCCACTGTCAGCTTGCATTTGTCAGGAGGGCCACAGATAGAGCTGTGTGGTTGTGTAGTGCACACTGCATGAGTGTACAGCCAAGGGGACAATTAAGGGCTAAAATCCAGCCTGCTTTGGTCTTGTGAGTCCCTGGGGCTACGTTTTCCCATGAAAAAGGGTCATCTTTTTTTCAGTTTCTACGAAGGTACCATAGTGACTAGCAGTGGTCCTACTCTTCAGATGAAGTTGAGTAAACCCCCTGGACTCTGCAGGAGTGACCTGTGACTTAAGTTAACCATCATTTTCCTTCCTCCTAGATAGTGAGAGTGGGGAATGAGCACAGAACTCACCTCAGGCCTTTGTTTAAGGGCTGTGGGCCTCTTTCCCGGAGAGGGGAGAGCTGTAGCTGCTGTAGCATCTGGCAACTAGATGGGCCTGACAGTACAGCCAATTTCCAGCAAAAATCACCAAAAAAAAAAAAAAAAGGAGAAAGAAAAACTCTATCCCAGTGACTTTGTTGAGCTTTGGCCATTATACCTGAAGCTTGAATGTACTAATAAACTGTGTAATAACATAAAACCAATGATCAATAATTCTCTTTTTTGTTGTCAGCTGTGACGAAACAAAAATTACAAACAAAAGACAAACCACCCAAAAACTCATTGCTCTCCACCTGGCTGTCAGTTGTGACCAAACAAAAGCACACTAACTATTCCGTACACATCCCAACGCATGCCTGCCCCTCGGCCCACTCATGGTTTCACATTCCCAGCCTAGGACTTGTCATCTTCTCATTCTACATCCTTTCCTTGATTTATTGTTTCTCTACCTCCATTTCCCAGCCCTGCTAATAAGTATGCTCTATGACAGCAAAGGAAATTTGTCTGTTTGGTTCACTGATGGATCTCCAGCTCTTAAAACGAGTTGTTGGCATGCAGTATATATTCAGTAAAGATTTGCTGAATGACACGCCTACTCAGTGAATTAAAGATGAATAAAACTTCATATGCATAAATTAAAAAGCTACCACAGTTCTAAAATGACCCACAAACTACTCCAGCCTTCTAATAAGGTTAGTGGCTGCTTTTCTACTTGGGAAAGTCCTGAAATACCCATTGTGCATTGCATATTGCATACATGCAGATCATTGGCATTCCAACAGTTTGGGGATTGATTTATTATTATTCTGTTGCCAAGATTCTTTTAAGTTGGTGATGCTTTTCAGTTGGAACTATTCTAAAATATATTTTAAATATATTTATAGAAGACCAGTAGATGGCATAATGGTTACATTGCTGGACTCCCACATAGTCAACCACGATTTGAGTTCTGGACCTGGCAGCTTAAACATGCCAGGTGCATGTGTGTGTGTGCCCAAAATACTGAGAGGAGAATGGAGGAGACAGAATTGCAGTGTGGCTACCCTGCTGGGGGATGATTTCTTGCTCTCTCTTTGTCTCTCTCTCTATTTATCCGGTGAACACAAATGCCGTATAGCAAAAACCTCTTTCATGTATATATATATATACATATATACACACAGAAAAGTTGTTGGATTTTACTTTGTTTTTGTAAATCTTACCTTTTACTCACTTAGTTTTTATTTTGTTCATTTCTTCTTCTTTGCTATTGTGAAGCTATTTTTCCTCTTGAAAGTATAAATGAAGGGGCCAGAGAGTGGCACAGTGATAAAACACCATATCTATTATGTTGATCCACTTGGGAAGTTCTGGGGTCTCCTGATCTCCCTGAGTACTCCAGGAATGTGTATTTCTATGCTCCAGAGATTGCTAATGAGTCTAGAAGTAGATCACAAAGACCCTATGGGGAGTGCAATTCTCTCTGTCTCTCTCACTAATGAAAGAAATAAACTATTTATTGGAGAGGTTTTTAGCCTTATGGCACATACGCTAGCCAGAAAGAAAGAGACAGAGAAAATAAGAAATCATTCCTCAGGGGGGATGGCCATGCCATAATCCCTTCTTTATTCTCCTCCTGGGATCCTAGGCACGCATCCACATGCTCCCAACGTGATTTTTGAAGCCGTTGGGTCTGGGATTCGAACCCCAGTTGGCCATGTGGGAATCCAACAACTCCCACTATGCCATCTGCTGGTCTCAAGAATAAATTTTTAAAAAAGAAAATGTGAATGGGTTAGGAGAGAAAGGGGGTCACGGTATCCTTTATCTCTCATATGTGTCATAATCAGAAAAAAATTGGCAACTTTGTACCTTAGGGGGATATCTTCATCCATTATTTTCTTTATATTCTTCCAGTTTCTGCAGGTAATACTGCCAAATGTAACATTTGCTCCAACAGTGTTCCACGTGGCTCCTATCAGTGTAACAGTTCCAACTTATCTATCATCTCTATTACGGAATCTGCACTCTTGTCTATTTTCCCAGTAGTGACTTGCTTCCCTTAGGAGTTGGTGGTTGCTATTTTGCTGAAGATAACTACACACTTTGAAACAATGACCTTTTGCCATCTATCTGTCATCTTTTCTGAAATCTTGCTACTATCTTTTGGGTTGACAAGACTTTTTAATCTTGGGAGGAACAATACATTATTTTTGTGTTTTCCTCATTGACAAACAAAAGAGTGATAAGGGTGTGATGAGAGGAAGGATGAAGAAAGGAAACGAGAGTAAAGAGGGGGAGGTGATTGGGGGGCCAAAGATTCAATTATTTTCTTTCTCTTTCTTCATTGTACCCTTTGTCTAGCCAGCTCTCCATACGGTCTTAGCCTGCCAAAGTGAAAAGGGAGTGCTCCGGTCTTAGGATATAAGACTATGTGTGTCCCCATTTGCAGTATGACTTGGATGAAGAAGTGTCATCCCCATAGCACAGCTGAACATCATGATCTTTACTCTGGTGATATTTCCCTCCAAGAAATGCTAATGTAATTATATGAAAACCACACTTTCTGTAATTATGGAATCCATATTGTTGCTTCTTACACTGCCATGCAGATTTATGTCCTGGGGGCCATATGTCTTTTTGAGGACAAAATTATTCCTCATTATTAGAGCAACACTCATGAGGAACACCCAAACCTCACAAGGTGAAGAGAATTGAACAAGGCCCCATAAGCTGTTAGTAGCAAGGGAGAGATACACAGCCAGGCCCAAAGTCAGCTCCACTGCCTTGTGACTGTTCCCTCATAAGCTGAGAAACGCTCATAATTAAATAACACCCCACTTAGTCCTGCTCAGTTTGGCAGGCATGCCATTTCCATATCCCTTGCTCATACAAGGGATACTGCTGGATATTTGTGAGGCAAAGACAGTGAGGGAGGAGATGAAGAAACACTTGAGTATATATTTTTGAGTTTCATTTCGCCTTTCCACTCCCACCATTTTGGAATTGAAACACAGTGACCTCAAGTAAACAAGTATATTTATTAAAAGAATTTATGGCTCATACTACTCTACTGGTAAACGTTCACATGGCAAACAGAAAAATAAGCAGGTGCCTGAGGGGAAGGATGTAGTCAGTGGGGAAGGCAGAGGAGGTACAGAGGTAAAGGGGGCAAGAAGATCATGTCTGAATTTCTTCCTCCTGTCTTTAAACCTTTGCCCCTTATTGCCCAAGATCTAGTTATCTAGTTATCTCAGTCAAGAATGCACACACCTAGTCTGCTCATGGCAGCCAGAGAGAGGGGAGGAGGAAAGAGGATTACTGTGGCAAGAGATTGTGAAGTGAATGCTCAGGGCCAGAAGCCACTATCGTACCAATGTTGTCTCTGTGTTAAGTCCAGAAAAGTCAGTGCAATAGGAGCCTCATCAATCTTAATTACCATGTTTACTCTCTGAGGTAATGATCAGATTTAGCTAACATGGCAGAGAAGGAAATGGGAAAGCAGCCAGTACATGGGTTGGCAGGATCTTGATTCTTGCTCTATGGTTTGTACTTGCACAGGAAATGCTGGCGCTTGTTGCATTCATTGTTGCTCCAAGTTAAAAAGTCTGTAAGAAAATAGATAAACATTTAAACCCGAGTTCTGTAGTGAGCATTCCAGAGTTATCTGGGTGTTTCACTTAGAGTCACAGATAAAGTACTGTGATGATTAGTTTTGTGTGTCTACCTGGCTAGGATATGGTGCTCAGTCATACACCAGTCTAGATATTGCTGGGAAAGTATTTTCTTAGATTTGGTTAACATTTAAATCAATAGATTGAGCAAAGTAAATTACTCTCCATAATGTGGGTGGGTCTCATCCAATCAGTTGAAGGTCTTAAGAGAAAAGATTGAGAATCCCCAAAGAGGAAGGAATTCTGTTTTTAGATTGCCTTTGGAGTCAAGACTGCAACATCAGCTCTTGCAATAATTTTCAGCTGGGACAGAACTGACTGTTCAGATTTCAGATTTATCAGCCCCTACAATTTGAGTAATTTTTCAAAATAATTCTCTATTTCTCTACTGTAATTGGATATACATCCTATCATCTCTTTCTGGAGAACCATAATACAGATGCTAATTTTGCTAACAGAAAGAAAAATAATTTAAATGTTGCGCATAGTCACAGAAACTCACTCCAGGTACTGCTTTTGAGGGAAGACAGGGCTTGATAAGAATCAACTGAGGGGCCAGCAGGTGGCGTGGTGGTTAAGGGTGCTGGGCTCCTACATGGCTGACCACGGTTCAAGTCCCAGAGCTGGCAATTTTCTTTCTCACTTTCCCTCTCTCCCTCTCTCTCTCACACACATACTCTGTCCCCCCAGACAAATTAAAATAAAAATAAATGAAGTTAAATAAAATAATTCTTAAAAAAAAATCAACTGAAAATGATGGGCTCTCTTATGTTTGAAGCAGGATACATGGAGGATCTGAGCATGCTCTTTCCACAGCTAAGGCTATAAGGATCTCCTGCTCAAAGTTCAAGTAACTGGAAGCTGCTGAAGCCAGTCACAGGCCATCCACTTTTATAGAAGGAATGAGCAAGGAGTAGGCGGTCTTCTGAAGGACTGATGTATTTTTGAGGAGAGGTCCAACATTTCTCTCCAGAAACTAAGCTCCACAGGGTCACTTGTCATCTAGGATGGCTGCAGCAGAGTGATGAATCATCCCCAGTTAGGTGTCTGCTTGTGCTCTGACCAGCACATCTGGAACTGTGGCCTGTGGGTGGGTGTGGTGAGAGTAGGGTATGAGGCAGGGTCCTCCTGCTCCTAGTTCTCAGAGATACAGTGGCTGGGTCCTACCCATACCCATGTTCACAGGACCCAGAGCCAGGTCACAGAGTATAAAGAAATGGTACTACCAGTTGGCTGGGCAACATCCCCCTGGGATGTTCTAAAATACATGCACCTACTGGTGCATGATCATGTCACAATACCTTCTCTTCAGTTTCTCTATCCTGTGGGGATTTTGGACATGCACACTCACACACACCCCAAGCATGTTTTCAACCTCTAGAACTGGGATTCAAACTGCTGTCAGCCAAATGGAATCCAATTTTCTTAACCAGCAGGCTTCCATATTTTGCTCTCTCTCTTTTTTTTTCCTTTTAATGTGCAAAAAGAAGGAGCTGCAATTTGGGAAGAGGTAAGGGGTGATATATTAGAACTTACTGTTCCTGTAATTCATCTCAGCACAATGCTTGTTTCCTCCCATGGACTTGCCAGACCAGGATCTATACAGAAATGTGGCTCCATCAATCCACTGCCACTGCTGCTTCTGTAAGAACAGGAGGTGGGAGAAATGCATAGGTCATTGGCTCACCTGCTTACAGCCAAGGTGGTCCCCTAGGTCCCTCTAAAGCAGTTTTTCACAGTAAAAATTGGGAAAGTATAGAAATGTGTAATTAAGGAAAAATACAGAAGTCATTCCGTTCAACCACTAAGGGAAAAACATTACTAATTCATGATCATGCATATTTATATCTGGTATAAATATTTTACATATAACTACATTTTCTTTGTATTGAAAATGTTGTGGTCTTGAGAGAAATAAGAGCAACAGGAGGACCCTGCAATCACAAAGATAGCAGGACCAACAGGCAGACCTAAGCCAAGCAGTTCGACTTGAGCTCATCAACAGGGATCCCTCCCAATCTGCTATGCTGAAGGAGGAGCTCTCCAGCCTTCAAAAACCAATATCTGGTTTCTGCAGTTGCAGAGAAAGAAGAAGCAACAGGGATACCCTACAACTCCAGGGACAGAAGAGAAACAGCAACAGGAAAACCCTGTAATCCCGGAGATAGAAGGTAGGAGCTGCTGTCCTACGTAGGCCAGGACAGTTTCCCAGAAAGGGTGATAAGTCTGGCTTTCCCAAGGGGTCTTAGCCAGCCAGATTTAAGGTTACCTTCTGTGGGTCATGTAGGCCAATCCATACAGGCTGGTTCTTTTGATAGCCACTTATGTACTCTGCAATGGCGCTGGCTTCCTTTAAGTTCAGGACAGATGCCAGGTGGGCTCCATTCCCATGAGACTGGCACTCGAGCTGCATGCAAAGGGAGGCCCCATTAATGATACCAGAAGGTTTGGAAGCATAGCTCTCTCTTCAGAGCTCTAGCATAACCATGCAGAATGGAATCACAAGTCGCTCCCTCCTCTAGAAGTTGTTATCTAAACTTGTAGAAGACATCTATTGGTTTTCATCATGGGAGACGATGCAACCATCACAACATCAGGTCTCAGAAGGGGTAGCTCAAGGCAAAGGTAAGAGATTTAGAGCCAGAAGAAGTTTATAGGGTTCTGGTCTTGCCTTTTGTTAGTCTATGTGGCCTTGACAAGCCACTCCTGAACTCAGCTTCTTCATTTGTAAAGTAGAAAAAAGTAATTATTGCTACTTAGGAGATGTAAGGACCAAACGTAGTATAATATTGTATTTTAACAAGTTTAAGAAACTGATGTAGCATGTAAAAATGTGCCATTATGTCCCACTAAAAGGTGAGAAAAATAATCACTGTCAATTAATCCATGACATACTGTTGTTCATAGCACATACTTGATTCCAGAGGTGGAATCAACATGATTAGCACATGAACACAATATATGTCTCAGAACAGATAAGGTCATGCTTGACGTGAGATACTTCCAGCATACTGGGCACCTCACAGATACTATCCCATTTATCCTAACAAAAATGTCAGGAAGTGGGAACCAGCAGTTAGCATAATGGCTATGTCGCTGGACTCCCACATAGTCGACCGCGGTTCGCGTCCCGGACCAGGTGGCTTAGAACTCACGCCGGGCGCGTGTGCGTGCGTGCCCAAGGTCCCGAGAGGAGAATGGAGGAGAAGGGATTGTGGCGTGACCATTCCCCCGGGGGTGATTTCTCGCTTTCTGTCTCTATGTCTCTCTCTGTCTGTCTGGCGAGCACATGCGCCCTATAGCGAGAACCTCTCCAAAAAAAAAAAGTCAGGAACTCAGGCTCACCATTAATGGATGGGCAAACGACAGACCAGAAAGGGCAGCTAGACATGATAATAGAGCCCAGGTTTGCTTAACTTCCAAGTCTGTGTCTTTTAAGTTATTATTACCCTAGATTATACAACGATGATATGTTTATAAGTTGTAAATGGTGGTCAGTAACTTATTTTTACTTGTCACCAAATGAATGTCAGACGAATTGCTTAAGTATCTGAAATTATTCTTCAGAGGAGAAGAGACTCTTTCAAATGTTGGATTAGAATGTCTGGGTCCCTGGAATCACTTGCTGATGGAAGATAAGCTTGTTCATCTTTCTTTCTTCAACAATAGACACAGTGTCAAATCTGGTTGGATTTGGGGATTTCTTCCCACCTGCTAAATTGCACCGGGGGCCAATATACAATTCTCCGTTCTATTGCCTCTTTTTTTTTTTTTTCTTTTTTTGGAGAGGTTTTTGCTATAGGGTGCGTACGCTCGCCAGACAGACAGAGAGAGACAGAGAGACAGAGAGTGAGAAATCACCCCCCAGGGGGGATGGCCATACCGCAGTCCCTTCTCCTCCATTCTCCTCTCGGGATCTTGGGCATGCACGCACACGTGCCTGGCGTGAGTTTAAGCCACCGGGTCCGGGACTCGAACCGTGGTTGACTACGTGAGAATCCAGCGACATAGCCATTATGCCAACTGCTGGCCTCTCTATTGCCTCTTTAATAAAAACCATCAGCTCTAAATTCAACTCTGTTTAATTCTTGTATATCTTGATACTGAGCCCAAATTCTTTCATTCTTCCTCTGAAAAAGTGCTACTTTTTTTTTTTATATTCAAAGAAGTGCAATCTGAATTCTTCTTAAAGATTAATAAATGATAATCACTCATTGCTTTAAAGAGTGTATGGAACATGTGACATGATCAATTTCTGCTCTTCAGAGACCTATTTGTTAAACAAAGCAAACATGTGTGTGTGTGTATGTGTGCATGTGTGTAAATTTTATTTTATATTCTTTTGAGGTTATATTACAGGATCTGTCTATATGATAAAAAATAGAATTAATTTAATAAAAACAGAGTTTGGGTCACTGTTATTCAGGGTTTTACTACTTCCAGTCTTTTTGTTACTCTTTACCAGATCAGGTATGGTTGCTATTTAATAATAATTTAGTCCGCACACTTGAAAACCACTTTACAATAGCAAAATGCTTTTAAACCTGTAATTCCATTTGATTCTCAATTTCTTGAGGCATACTAACCAGTCAGTATTTATTGAGTGTTAACTGTGTACCAGCCACAAAGTATTTCTATGATACAGGGGACATAGACTTGGAGTATTTAAGTGATATTTTCCACACAGGTTCACACAACTGGTAATGATGAAGCTGTAACAGGAACTCAGACCTCTTCCTCTTAAGCCCAAATTCAAATCTGCATGCATTGCTCAATGTTCCATCCATCAGCTTCCAGAAGTCTCAAGAATTAAGGTAGGCCAGTAACAGTAGCAAGGAGTGGTTAGCAGCAGTGAGCCAGCAGTGGTCAGACGTTGGGTTTTTCCAGGCCCACGTTGTCCCTGTTTCCCCACCACCTCCTTTGCACTCTGGTTCTGGGGTTGTTAATTCTGCTAACTCTGTGTCCATGTCTCTGTGTCTGTCTCACTCACCCTCCTTATAAACCCAACAGCAGTCAATCATGGGGCCCAGTCCTGATGACCTCAATCCTAATCTCCCCTCAGAGGCCCCACCTCTCAACATCATATTTGGATTAAGTTTTCACCTTCTTAATCCAGTCACAACCAAATTTCAATACATAAATTCTGGGGGACATATTCAATTGAGAGTCATTACATATACTGATTCTGTGAGCATTACGCTCAGGTCATGCCATGATGTACTCATACGGCTTCCCTGCCCCAGTCAGCCACTTGAATGAACCACCACAATTCAGAGAGACAGCGGCATTGATGGATTCCCCACACCTGTCTGTGGCAACTTATTTTATCTATTTGGGTATCTCTTAGATGAATCCTCAGTGAAATAGAATTGATACATTTGTGGGTCATGTGGAACAATGAAATCTTCCAAATGTTTGGACCGTTTCCCCGTTCTGTCAGGTGGCTCTGAGGCCCTTGTTCCAGGACTGCCTGCATGCACACTGCTGTCTGTCTAATGCATTTCACATAGGAACTCAATGATTCTTTCTAGAAGTTCCTCATCTTCCTTTGATTTATGCATTTCTGTGTTCTACTGACAGTGAGCTTGTTGAGAGCAGAGGGCATTTCTTATTTACCCTTTGTCCTTACAGCCCATCTAGGGTCTTGGCTTAAAGTACCTGCTTCATCCACACCTATGAATTGAATGACTGAATAAACAACCCTCTTCTCTCCATTTTACCAACCAGGCAGCTTCTCCTCAGAGTGCCAAGGAACGACCCTTGCTACTGAATCAAATAAAATCTGTGGGCTCTGGGTGGCTCCTTACTTTAAAGATGCTAAATATTCACATTTCTTACCTCAGCATCAGACCAACTCCTCGGCTTCCGGAAGTATCCATAGCAATTTGACTTGTGGTAAAACCACCCGGTAGCACAGCTGGGTCTCATGATGATGTCTACACATAAACAAAAGGCAATTACTAGTTATGATAGCAAAAACAATCACTTCCCAGAATTATAAAGTTTACACAATCAGTACACTTTGAATAAATGGGAGGAAGAGTCTTAAAGAAAGACTGCTAGACTGCCGAAATTTTATAGTGTTAATATTTCTCCCAGCCTTCCCAAAAGAGACCTACAGCCTTTTACTAGAGTGATTGTGCATTGGGTAAAAGGAAATGATCAGAGTTGTTTGAGGTTGTTGGACACTGGCTCTGACCTGACAATAATTCCAGGAGATATCAAATGTTACAATGACCTACCAGTGAAAATGGGAGCTAGCGAAGTCAGGTGATAATGGAGTTTAAGCTTAGTCTGTCTCACATGGGTCCAGTGGGCCCCCTGAACCCATCCTATGGTAATGTCTCCGATTCTAGAATGCATAATTGGGGTATATTTAGTGAGCAGATGCTGAAATCTCACACAGATAATGGAGGTCATCCAACTATACTTCAAGGCAGCACAAGAGTGGTTGGAGGGTCTTAATGGGCAGTTTTAAGTATTACTAAAAGTGAGAAATCCTTTTGGCCTGGAGGACATAGGACAGGTTAAATGACAGCATGACCAAGACTTGAGCACAGCTGGGCCATTCATCAGTAGTAAGAGGAAGAGACATTTTAGGCCAAAGGTCTAGGATGGGCAGAGGAACAGAGGTGGGCATGTGCAAGGGCTGCACAGAAATAAGAGCACTGAAGTTTGCCTTAAGCACAGAGTATCCGTCCCACACCCATGGTAGCAAGGAATAGGAGAAGCAAGGCCTAGAACCGTGGGAATCCAAGATTCAGAGAGACATATGTTCTTCCTGCTAGTCAGATAGTGAAAAGGCCATGCTACTAAATCTGGAGGTTTATGAAGAAGTGAAGATGGCTGGGTGTACAGAGGGGCCAGAAGATGAAGATGATGCCAAGTCAGCAAGTTTGAGTTTTGTGACAATGTGGCTACCCTTTGACACCACAGATGGGTGTAAGTGTCTTTCCTACTACAGTGGATGTCCACAGATGGTGATTGACAGCATTTCCTCTCTCCCAACTCAAATGACATGTCTGTCATTTGTTCTCCTCACAATTCTGTTTTTTTTCATCTTTCTGCCCAGAACCTTCTAGGTATTCTACTTTGCTTTCAGATAAACTCTCTGATCATTTAGCATTTAAGAGGCTTTACAGCCAGGTCTTACTGCCCTATCAGCTGTACCCTCCTATGCAGTGATCCCAGCTCTGTCCTGGAACTTGATGCACATTCTAGATTTAGATCATTTGCACATGCCATGCCTTGTGCCTAAGAATGGTAAGTTATAACTAACCTAGAAAAGGGTTTAAGGAGCACCTCAAATGTGTTAGGCACAAGCAGCAAAGATACTCATGAACTGAAATGTCTCACCTTCTACTACCTTTACAAATATAAACATAATTTTATATTAAACAAAATGGAAACATTTATGTCACTGCTACTTTTATTACTACCACCATCACTAGTTTCCAAGTATAAGGTGCTTTCTTGGTGCCAGGAGCTGTGCTCAGCAGTTTATCCTTACCATATTTTAATCATAATAATTTAAGGAGGTGACAATGGAGGCAAGGTGGTCACCTGCCCTAGTCACACAGGAAGATGAAAAAGCTGCTTCATTGGTTCAGTTCTACGATTTAAACATCTATGTTTCTGCCATCAATGCTCCCAACCTTGCATATAAAACAATAGGGAATTAGAAGTTTAACAATAGATATAACAAGAGGGTTTGAATGTCTTGATTATTTTATCAGAAGGAAAGAAGGCAAAGGAGATCCTTGACTTTTTAGTAAAAACAGATTGTCTTAAAGAGGAGGTTGATCATTGTTTACAGTTCTAAAAAGGATGGGTCATGAAATAGACTTGCACTTCAGGAAGGGACAGGCTGGAGAGACATTAGAGAACACACCTTCAGATTTAATATTGTTGAGAATATTCTGAAAGAGGGAACAAAGAGGAGCCTAAATCTTTGACGTTAAGTTTGAGAACAGCGACCCCTGGTTTCACCCCTGATGCTCCTCGTTGAGTTCACTCTGATCTCTCCTATGAACTCTAAAGTGACCCTGCTTGACATTCTATGGGCAAACACGTTAGGACAGACCCTTTACCACCATGGGTTTTATTTCCCCTGAATAAAGGTTGTAAGGGCAAAGGTCTCGGGAACACACATGGGGGCCCTGAAAGGCTCAGAGCAAAGGAGAATCTCATTCTCTTTGCCTCTTCCTGTCGCTGACCATTTCTTTCTGTTCAATTTTCTTTCTGTGCATCTGTGTCTTCCTGGCTCTTTCTATGCATGTCTCTATGTTTCCCTTGCTATCTTTCATTCTTTGTGCATGTCTCTCTGTCTCTTTTGTCTTTGGGCCTTCGTGTGCCTCTTTCAATCCATGACTCTGTCAGTGTTCTGTTTCTCATTCTTTGCTGTTTCTCCTCTCCCTTCGCAGTTCTCCATCTTTCTCTCACCACCCTCTGCCCCTCACCGTGCAATATTGCAGTTGTTGCTGTCTTCTGCTACTGCACACACTATTGAGCATTTATTATGTACCAAGTACTACGAAGGCAGTTTACATATATTCTGAATATCTTCATAAGAACCCTATCATCATCCTCATGTTCCAGACAAGAAAAAAATGCAAAAGGAAATTGTCATGTCTCAAGGTCCCATCTCAAATAAGTAATAGACAAGATTTGACCCCCAACCATCTGATTCCCAGTCAGACTTACTTTTTATTATTGTCAGAGGGAAGGTGTGCTTTGTGTGCTTGTGAGAGAGACAAAGAGAAAGAGGAAGAACCCCCCACCCCCACCCCAATGGGCCATGGCCATGCTACAACCTTTTCACCCTCTATTTCTCACATTAGGATTTTATGCATGCACACACAAGCTCCTGGAGTTTTTCAAGATGTTAGGTCTGAGAGTATAAACAGGGTCAGCCATGAGGGATCCAGTTCCCAATGCACAGGGCTTAACCATTGCACCACAGGGTCTACCCAATTATTCTAAATCATGGGCTAAATATTCATTCAAATTACTTTGTTTAATTACCAGAGCCTCCTTGAGAAATAGGGGTGGATATCTCCCTCGTGCAGACAAGGAAGTCTCTTCAGAGAGTTGACATGACCTGTGAGGCTGCCCAGATGGGGAGTGAAGTGGGAGCTCAGCGAAGAGCCCATGTTTCCTCAGCAGTCAATGGTCCTTCCAGCACCAGAGCCTCTGGGTATGGGAGCATCTCGGAGCTACTCAAACAGGGGGAGGAAGCTTCAGCTCCTACCATCTTGCCTAGACTACATTAATAGTCTTTCTACTCTCTCACTTACTAGAGGAGTGACCTTAGGAACATTATTTAACCTCTTTTAGCTTCAGTTTTCTTGTCTGTACAAGGGAACCTATATTATATAGCTTCTTTATGAGATTATGGGGAGGATTATTTGGAATAATGCTGTACAGTGATTAGCACAGAGCCTCATAATTATTCAGCCAACAATACTACAGTTGGTTAGAAAATTGTAGCTATTAAAACAATCATCATTGGGACCAACAGGTGGCACAGTAGTTAAGGTGCTGGACTCCAGTGGCTTGAGTTACAGACCCAGGGGGTTGAAAATTGTGCTGTGTGTGTGGTTTTTTGTTTTGTTTTGTTTTTGTTTTTGTTTTTGTTTTGAGAGGTTTTTGCTATAGGGCACGTGCACTCACCAGACAGACAGAGAGAGACAGAGAGAGAGAAAGTGAGAAATCACCCCCCAGGGAGGATGGTCACGCCACAATCCCTTCTGCTCCATTCTCCTTTCGGGATCTTGGGCACACACGCACATGCGCCTGGTGTGAGTTTAAGCCACAGGGTCCAGGACTTGAACTGCAGTCAACTACGTGGGAGTCCAGCGACATAGCCATTACTCTAACTGCTGGTCCCTATGCTGGGTGTGTATTTGCGTGTGTGTGTGTGTGTGTGTGTGTGTGTGTGCACCCCAAATCCCAAGAGGAGAATGCAGGAGAAGGGATTGCAGTGTAGCCAACCCCCTAGGGGGGTGACTTTCTTATTTTCCCTCTCTCTGTCTCTGTCTCTCTAACTCTGATAAGTGCATGCACCCTTTGACAAAAAAAAATCTTAAAATTGTTGTTATTATGTAATATTATTGAAAACATTGAGTGGATGAAGTTTCTTCCTGTGCATAAATCACGTTGCTTTGTGTCTCTCCACCCGTCATACCAATGGCATGCACCACTTCAGGTTAAGGGCAGCTACAGGCCAGGACAAATAAATCACTATGGACGTACTAAGAGTTCTAATCTTGACCACTAGCTCTTATTGAAAGAGAACATTAATTTCTAAGTCTCCCATATTTCCACTAGAGTTTTTTTCATTAGTTGTAGCATAGAGAATATATAAGACATGTCACAAGGGAGGCTCCTTTGATAGTAATAATAGTAGTAAGTCCTTCAACATGTGGGAGGAAAAATCTATCTGAAAAAGAGCAAGGGACAGACCTGTAGTGAATGTTCTGGTTCTGCTTCCTTCTAGGGAGAGAAATCAGAGAAACTGGTGAAATCTTAGAGTGGGAAAGGCTCGTTTCTTATTACTTAGGATATAACTGGGGAAAAATTCAAGCCTCTTTAAGGAAGCCTGAGGTCAGTACAGCACCAGAGCAGCAGGGAACCACCTGGTCACTTAGAAATGACCACAGAAGGTGGCTCTTCAGAAAGGGCTCAAGGACATCCCAACCATTGTCCACTTTTGCATGGTTCATGGCAGGTGGCTGAGTTTCTAAGAACCTAAGCATCCATAGATAGTTGCGATAAGTGGTGGCTAGAAATAGGTGTGTTGGGGTTAAAAGCCATGAGTACAAGGAACTGTCAAGGGTAGGCTTTGGTGAGGACCACAAGCTTCAGCTGTGGGGACCAGCATGATGCCCAAAGACCCTTGCTTCTCTTTGTATTTCCTTCCAATTGATGGTCCCTGTGGCCAAGGGCATTCCCTCAGCTCAACAGAAGTGATGCCCATACATGGATTCTTCATCCACTCTTCCACATACAACAGCCAGAAATGACACATGGGACTGAGAGAGATATTCAGGACTAGAAGCCAGAGCATCAGACGGCAAGGCTGGGTAAGTGCCGATCTTCCCGTGGACTTCATTTTTCTCAAAAATAGAACAAAGAAGTTACACTGGGTGAGCCCACATTTAATTTAATTCCATTTTAGGTATTCCATGATACTTCTTCTTTTTTTTTTGAGAAGTTTTTACTACAAGGTGCGTGCGCTCGCCAGAGAGACAGAAAGCGAGAAATCACCCCATAGGGGGGATGGCCATGCCGCAATCCCTTCTCCACCATTCTCTTCTTGGGATCTTGGGCATGCACACACATGCACCTGGCATGAGTTTAAGCCACTGGGTTCGGGACTTGAACCACAGTCAACTACATGGGAGTCCAGCGACATAGCCATTACGCTAACTGCTGGTCCCCATGATACTTATTCTTTACTCATTCATAGTTTTCTTCTCCTGCTTTGTCCAATAGTAGATTCTACAGCATTGCTTCCTACTTTGTTAACATGCTACTATTTATTTACTTATTCATATTATTTGCTACAGGGCACATGTCCTTGCCAGAGAGAGGGAGGGAGAGAGAAAGTGAGAATGTACCCTTGGTGGAGGGTGAGGGGTGAGGAGGACCATGTTGCGATACCTTCTTTTCCATTCTCTTCTCAGTACTTTGGGCACACATGCACCTGGTGTTCTTTTCATACCACCAAGTCCAGGATTCAGACGCCATAGTTGGCTATGCAGGATCCAGCTGCCTTAACTACCATGCCACCTACTGGTCTACTTTGTGTACTGGTTGCTTGGTCTATAAGCTTTTAAGAGCCATCTCTCCAAATAGGTTGCAGGTTCCTTGCAAACTAGAATCACCCTGATTCTGACATTCCACTTCATGTATTTGATAGGCTCAAATAAGACTTCTAGTTATAGCTAAGACTTATTGACAGTCTGCTAGATGTCAGGTGCTTTAAACACATTATCTCTATTCTTCACGATAAACTTATGAAATTACATTACAGCTTACACTTAATTGATGATTCAAGTGTGGCTTTTACAACCATATAGTGTTGGTGTTTATCTGGTTCCTGGGCCCGTGAACTTTATCATATCATTCTTTTTCATTCCTGTGTTTAAAATCTATTTGCTGCAGTGCCTAAATATATATTTGGGGTGGGGACAAATAGTTGGCTATGTCATGTATGCTGTGGGGATGTGGACTGGAGGCTTGCTCAGCTAAGGGATGGATACTCACCTCCCAGGACGTCAGAGTTAGCCACACAGCTCAGCAGCAGGAGCAGCCGTACGCTTTTGGAAGCCATCTCTTCTCCTGGGGATAGAAGTGCTTTGGACACCTCTGCTACAAGGACTTGGGAGTCCTGCTTAGTTTTCTTTAAATCTCCTGCGTTCACCCAGATCTGTGGATCTGAACGTGTTTTCACTGGTCAGAAAGACAAGAATTCTGATGCCAAATCACATTTATATCACAGTGATATACAGAAACTCGTCTAAAAAAATCACAAAGGCAGAAAGAATCCCATCATTTTAAGTAGTTAAGCAAATTCAACCTATTCTATTCATGTTCTCAAGAAAAAATTGCTCACTCTCATATCCTAAATCCAAAATTCATAATGAAAGGCATCTCAAAATAAATGTAGATATTAGGAAAATTTAACTTATGGGGGTGTGTTCTCACTTGCAAGTTTCTGGGGCCAGTGCGAGAAACCGAACTGAACAATGGTATAGCCGGCCTGGAGGAGGTTTTTTGTTCTGCGCAGAAGCAATTTGTAAAGGAAAGCCAGACCCTGATATTTTCAGAAAAGCCGGCAGAGGGCGGCCAAGACAAGCTTTCTCATAGATGACGTGGCGGTGCGCTTTCTATAGTCAAGAAAATGAAATCAAGTGCTTCCAACACTGAAATGTTTGATGTTTGAAATAACAGCATATTGACCCAATACCCACCTTTTACAGATGAGAAAACTTAAGGCCTCATTTGCCTTTTGGTCATCACGTACAACCGGACCTGACAATAGTTCGGCACTATTTCCTTTACACTTAGGTGACATCACTTCTAAATTCTGTCTCCCAGAGATAATTTGGTGAATACGTATAGACATCTTCCTATGCATCTGTCTCTATGTGCAGTTTTATATAAATCACATCTTAGAGTTTTGTAACCTGGTTTTGATTCTCAGAAACAAAGTGATTGCAGATTTTTGGCTAATTTTAGCATATTAAAGAAAAACTTCAGTATTTTTAAATTGCTAATGAAGTTTTTTTTTTTTAACTTTTAGGTTTTTTTACCCTCATGTTTTGTGAGACCTTACTTATATTTATATTTCTTTTTTAGATTTTTGCCTTCAGGTATCTGCACTCACTGAAGAGAGACAGAGAAAAAGTGAGAGATCACCCTCCAGGGGGATGACTATGCCACGATCCCTTCTCCTCAATTCTCTTCTCAGGATTTTGGGCACACACCCACTCACACCCAGCATGATTTTCAAGCTGTCAGATCTGGGACTCAAATTGCATGGTTTGCCGTGTAGGATCCAGCACCTTCACCTCCATGCCACCTGCCAGGCCCATTGTATGTTGTATGTGTCACACATTACTAATAATACTTTCTGGTGTGTTTCTTCTTATTTTACATATATATATATATTCTCCATTCTGAAATTTTCAAACATTATATTGTAATATTTATGATTTTCCTCTAGGCATCGTTATCATAGAAGGTTAAACTATTCATTCATATTTTCTATTTTCATCTATCTGGCTTTATTTTAGTATAAGTTTGGAATTGGGGGGTCTAGATTTTCTCCCCTAAATAAAGATTACCATGAATAACCCGTTGAATTCTTGTTTGACCATACTTTTTTTTTTTTTTGAGAGAGATTTTTGTTATAAGGTGCATGGGCTCGCTGGAGAGACAGAGAGTGAGAGAGACAGAGAGATAGAAAGAGACAAATCACCCTCCCCAACCCCCGGAGGGAATGCCACTCCATAATCCCTCTTCCATTCTCCTCTCCAGATTTTGGGCACTCCCACACACGTGCCTGGTGTTTTAAGCTGCCGTGTCTAGGATTCAAACCTCAGTTAACTATGTGGGAGTCCAGTGATGGAACCATTATGCCGTCTGCTGGTCCCTCTTGTTTGACCATACTTTGTGATTTGAAAATCAGGACACATGGTGAAACTTTCAAATGATAGACTAAGAGGAATGGTAGAATAATAGCACTTGAAACAAAAACATTCCTGGAAAGTCTAAGATGGAGTCCCTATGAGCACTTTGACTCAGTGCTAATAGAGAAGGGGGCAAAGGGTGAGGCGTGTGGAAGTATGATGGCTCTCCCACTCTTCCACCATTTTAAAGTCATTGCATGAACCCTCCACTCCTTTGCTGAACTTTCCTTCTAAAAGTAACGGGGCATTTTAGTGTCCTGAAACCTTCTGCCCTTCCTTTTTTTCCCTAAAAATTTAATTGCCAAAGGGCACATACATTCATGAGAGAGAGCTAAAGAAAGCACCTCCTAATTGGGGCTTGATAACAGTGCAATCCCTTTTCCTCAGTTTCCCCATCTTGTTAGGATTTTAGGCCCACATGCACACATGCCTAGCATAGTTTTCAAGCTGCCAGGGTAGACTGTACCTATAGTCAGGCAAGTGGGGTCTGGTTTCCAATACGCTGCCTTAACCATGAGGTTATAGACCTGGCCCCTGAAGCCCCTTTAAAATGCAAATGGTTAGAATTTCTCCATCAAGCTGACTGGGAAAGAGGCAGTGCAGCATTTTTTTGATTAATCTGTAAGTGAATTTTAGTGAATAATATTCATCAAATGTCTATATGTCTTCTCAGCCCTCATAATGAGTCAACATTAAGAACCGAGTTCACAGATGAAGAAACTGGAATTCACTGAGATTAAGTAACTTTCTCAAGTTTCATAGCTATTAGATTGCAGGCCCATGATCTAGCCCAACACTTTTTGACACTGAAGCCCATGATATTTACAATGAGAGAAAAAAAATCAGTAATTCAAATCAAACAACATATCAACAAGAAGTATGGCAAGCCTCATTAGAACTATAATTTAGCATTTCTGGCCCAGGTAATAGGTGACAGAGAAAACAGGTGTTCAAATAAAGCCTTCCATCCTCTGCTGCAGAATTACCTGGTTTTTGGCCAAGATTCCAGGGATCTCTGCTTCAGGGTCCTGAGTGCTCCCAAAGTTTCTGGAGTTCTTATAGCTTCTCTATGCAGGAATTAATAAGTTTTGTTTTAATCCTGGAGTGATAATGTTGTTTACAAATAATAATTCATTCATAAAAGTCTTATCTACAGTCAAAAAACCCAACTGCATGAGATGTGGCTCAAGACTGCACAGTAAATTATGCTTTGCATAGCCGGGAAAAGGACCTCTCCCTCTGTGCAAACAGAATCTTTTCTTTACAACCCTTGTTATCAGAATGAATGATATCCTGCAATCTGTTGTAAGTCCATCTTTCACTCCTGTATTTCATTTTTTCTTTTCTCTCCTTTTATTCCTCTGTGTTGTGAATTTTTAAAAATTTCTCCTTCCTTTCTGGAAAGATGCCCTCACTTCAGCACTGGAGAATCATTTCAGCACTGGAGAATCGAGATTCTACTCCCACAGAAAGGGTTTTGCTCTCACGTGGGGTGGCCATGTGGGTAACTTGAGGTGCACATGCAGGCATTCCTTTCTTTCTTTCTTTTCTGGAGACGTTTTTGCTATAGGGTGCGTGCGTTCACCAGAAAGACAGAGAGAGATAGAGAGACAGAAAGCGAGAAATCATCCCCCAGGGGGGATGGCCATGCCGCAATCCCTTCTCCTCCATTCTCCTCTTAGGATCTTGGGTATGCATGAACATGCACCCAGAGTGAGTTTATAAAAGCCACCGGGTCCGGGACTTGAACTGTGGTCGACTATATGGGAGTCCAGTGACATAGCCATTACACCAACTGCTAGTCCCCAGGCATTCCTTTCTAAAGCACCAATCTCATCTCTCCCTGCAAGTTCTAGGTTCCTTAGCTAGCTACTATTTTAGTTGTTCCTGTGGAGCAATACATTAAAATCTTATCCTAAAACAGGGTAATTATGTAAGAACAGATTACATCGGTAGAATATTTTACAATAAAGTGTTTTCACTTGTCATTCAGATGAGACCCAAACAAAACCCCTGTGAGCAAGGTAGCATTGCTATTAATATATACACTCAAGACACTCAGTGCTAAGAGAGACTGGGAAACCTGCCCAGGTTCACGATGCTGGTCACTAGTGGAGCTAGACATTGATCCCATGTCTTGTGACTCCAAATCTAGCTCTGGTTACTGAATTACAGTCTTACTGGAAAGATAGGTTATTTGGGAAGGGTCATAAGATTTCATTTTTCTAGTGTAGTTGGAAAAGGATTAACCTAGGGGTAGGTGCCAGAGATCATTCAATTTCAAACTACAAAGTCTATAAAAGGACCTTTTAGGAAGGAAAATTTAAGTGTGGAAAGGACATGGCAATCATCAAATCTTACTCTTTTGCTCTACTAGTGAAGAACCCAAGATCCAGAGAAGTGTAATGACTAGTTCAGTTCAGTTAGTTATGGTGAAACTGATGTCAGAAACCAGGCTCTTCTTGCTCTCAGCCCAGAGTTGTTTTTAAAATGCTTTTCAGTGTTTGCCCTTGGATTTTTCTAACCTGTGTATAAATTCATGATACGGCATGAGAAAGCAATGCTTTCATGGTTTGCATGAATAGTTCAGAGACTCTCTTCTGACTCATGATGGTCTGAGGGAGAGCACAAGATTTAGCCTCTCAGGGATCTTGATACAAGTTCTAATTCTGTTACCCATTCATTGTGTAACGCTGGGCACACTATGTCTTTGAGCCTCAGTTATTAATTTACAAGGAAGAGATTATCAGATACATTTTATGTTCTGCATTCTGTTTGACATAGCATCTTTGACTTTAGGCAGCTGAATGGCAATCACCATTGCTTCGTGGCCCAATGAGAACTAAGATAGTAACTCCCAGTCCTTTAGGTTCAAAAGTGTTGGTCCACATGTGAAACAGAAAAGTTTTAACAAAATATGTGATTTAGTAGATCCCCTAAGCTCCCACCCTGTTACCCGAACACTGACTTCATAAAAAGTTGGGTTGTATTTTTTTTTTTTTTTTAAGACTCAGGCCAGCAGGTGGCATTATGGTCAGGGTGCTGGATACCCATATGGCCAACTGTGGTTCAAGTCCTGAACTCAACAGTTTAAAAATCACAATGGGCATGTGTGCGTACATGCCCAAGATTCTGAGAGGAGAATGGAGGAGAAGGGGTTGTGGCATGGCTATCACTTCTGGGGGATGATTTCTCACTTTCCTTCTAACTGTTTCTCTCTCTAATGAGCGCACACACCCTATGGCAGAAATATTAAAAACACTTTTTTAAAGGCTCATCTGTAGCCATATTACTCTGAATGCATCTGATCTCATCTGATCTTGGAAGCTAAGTGGGGTAAGGCCTGGTTAGTACTTGGATGGGAGACCTCCTAGAATACCTTGTGTTGTAGGCTATAAAAGAGAAAAAAATAAAAGCAAAACCAACAAATAGCTGCTTCCATACCTGTCCCTTTTCTTCTTAGGTGTTTCTTTCTAGAGGTTCCAGAGAACCAGACTCACTCATAGCTTTCTCTTTTCCCCCAAAGACAAAACTTTACTTAACATTTTATTATTGGAAAAGTAATTTACCTCTTTCTAAAAAAGGTTTTATTTTCTTTCTTGGAAGAATTCATGCTCTAAGTCTACTCGAAGTATCTTATCTTCAGCTATGTGGTGATTCCACTAAGCTTCCAAAGATTCCTCCAATTGGAAACATATACATTAGTGTATTTCTATAGCTGGATGGTACAAATCTGAAAAGAGGTAGGAAGTTAAAAAAATGCTAAGATAAAGTGAAGTTTCTGATAAAAAACAGGAATGTGATCTTTTCTCATGTGTCCATAAATATTCAATAAACTTTCATCCACCCAATGATTTGCTGGTACAACTGTCCAATAACATTTCCTGTGACAATGGACATGCTGTCATCTGTGGTGCCACTGCAGTAGCCACTAACCACATATGGCCATCGAATACTCAGAAAAACAACTAATATGAATGAGGAATTGAATTTTAACCTTATTTAATTCTAATTAGTTAAATTTAAACAACACTGTTTGGCTAGTGGCTACCATAGTGGATAGCACAGATCAAGAAGATGGGAATAGATTTCCATGGAAACAAGCTAACAGGGAACAAAAGAGGAATTATTAGTGTTTGCAGAGACTCTTAGAGACAGAGAAAAGCTTGAAGAAGTTAAGTCCTGAGCGTTTGAGAGATTTGCAGAGTTTGGGGGAAGCTGTAGAACTTGAATTTGAACCAAATCTAGTTAGATCTCAAAGTAGGAGTTTTTTAGCTGATAATCCGGGTACACTTTGGTAAGAAGTCTTTGTTACGGTCTAGCCAGTGGTGTGGTGGTTAAGGCAACTGGATCCCACATGACTGACTTTGTGATTTGAGTCCCATACCTAGCAGCTTTAAAAACACACTGAGCACTTGGAAAGGTGTGTCCAAAATCCTGAGAGAAACATGGAGAAGAGATTGTGGTGTGGCCATTTCTCTAGGGGGCAATTTATTGCTTTCTCTTTCTCTCTCTCTCTGTCTCCAGAAATGAATATGCCCTCTAGCAAAACAAAAAAAGTCACTGCCATTTTCTATGATGTTGTAAATTGAGTTACGCATTATTTTGCCATATCTGCAGCATGTATTGGAACTCCACTTTCACTGGTGAAGCTTGAGTGGCAATGATCTCAGCCTTTCTCTTCAAGTAGTGGAGCTCCTCATTGTTTCTTTACTTGAGGTCAAGTATAAATGGTTTTCTCCAGCTGGTATGACAGTAACTTAGTACCTATTTTAACTGGTGTACAGTTACTATTTTATTGTTGGTATGTATCAGAAATTTTTTGAAAGTGCTTCCTCCCCCCCACCCATCTAAACATTTCAGTACTATTAGAAGAACCTCAACCAGGTAAGCACAGTGATGTGGGACAGACTTGACGGAATGATAAATCAAAGCTGTATTTTATGAGAATGTAAAAAAACGAAGTCTGGTAAAAGGATGTGAGGAAGATCTGCGACTGTATAATGGGAAAGTAAGTTTTAGAATTTTTTTAAAGTTCTAAATCCTAAGACAACAACATGAATTACTTATTATTATTTTTAAAATACTATTATGAGTTCTTCCCCATCTTCATAAGGTGCAAATTTTTATGGCCTTTGACTTTATCATTTTATGTTTAACAGAGATATTGACCATGAGCTCTGATGCAAGCAAGCCCTGTAACATCCTCTGATAGTGAAGCAAATCTTACAGCAGGAGAGAGGAAATGAGTCATTGGGAAGTGTTCATTAACTTTTACAGCCAGTCTGAAAAATCTCTTGTCTTGAAAACAGCAGGATTCATCCGTACTCGCTGAGCTGGATGTGGGAGACTGTGACATAGAGGTATTTCCCCTTCTTCACCCTTTCGAGGACAATCTATTATCTATATTCATGAACAGCTCTACTTGTTGGAGAACATCGGTTAACTTGCTCAAGAGGCACAATGGAAGTTCTATCATCAAAATGTAAATTGATATGATCATATGGTTTTATCTTTCCTTCTGTTAATATGGTGTATTACATTTATGGTTTTGTGTATGTTGAACCACCCTTGCAGCCCTGGAATAAAGCCTACCTGGTCATAAAAAAGGACTCTGTGTCATCAAAGCAACATGGCACAAAAAGAGTGGAGTAGGAGGCATCTCACTCCCTAACCCCAAAATATGTTACAAAGATGTGAAAATCAAAACAGCATGGTACTGGCACAAAAATAGGCATGGAGACCAATGGAACAGAATAGAGATCCCAGAAATAAACTCCAAAACATACAGCCAACTGATTTTTTGACAAAGGGCATCAGAGAATCCAGTGGGGAAAGAAAATTTCTTCAATAAATAGTGCTGAAAAAAATTTGGTATCTACCTGCAGAAAAATGAAACTGCACCATTAATAAGTCAACTCAAAATGGATCAAAGATCTAAATCTAAGACCTCAAACTGTAAAACTACTGGTGAAAAACATAGGGGAAACTCTTGGAGACACTGGAATAGGCAAAGACTTCTTAAATAAGACACTCAAAGCACAGGCAA